TCTGCTATAGGTGTCCGTTGGTCGTGATGATGAATACCCCAAAAATGGCACAACCCTTTACGAGGCATCGTCCACCAACAATGCAGCAGTTGATTTTGACAAATGAATAAAGAAATATAGAAGAATATTTACGATAAGCTTAAGCTACGTCTTTAGGAGTTGAACGCGATAGCGATATCTTGTCCTAGTGCGTACTTTGAAAACTTGGCTGAACAAAATATTTTCTAACTTGCTATGCACCGACTACGTAACCTTTAGGAAATAGGCACAGTAACGTGTCCGGTTTTGTAGTGGGCGCCTGTCTTTAAGCGATTCTGATAGTAACATTTCCTCTGTACGCTTTCACCCCGTATTATTACTGCAATAATTCATGTTTTATGGGAAAACTTGTGCAGGATTGGATTTTCGTTTTCTTGAATTTTTGATCTTGTTTTTGTTTACCTTCGCTTGTAGCTCATACACACTGTGGGGGATTGGCCGATAACTGAGGGGCCTTATCGCATAATATTCAATTTTAAGTAAAAGAATTTACAAAATGCAAACGTTGCACATTCCAGAACAAAATTTTGATGGTTTCTGAAGTATACTTACTATAATGTTTGCCGAATTTTCTCTGAAACGAGCTACTTAACCCTATCGCGTTAAAGACAGAAAGGTATGCGAAAAAGATAATCTATAATAAAGCGAAAGTACTTGTGATAGTTTTAGTGTCTTTTAGGAAATGCTACTCAATGTAAGGTAAAACTTGATTGTAAATAAATAATAGAGGTAATATATGAAGTACATAAAATATATCTCAGTAATTGCAAAACCTCATCTGATGATGCTTCTATATGGCTCAAATGCGCACTCTGTTTGAACGACAGGCTTTAGATCAGTGCTTAACAATTCCTAATTCAAGCTATTAGCTAGTGATAAACAAACTCTATTGCCAGAACATAAATGAGGAAAACCTGGAATGCGTAAAAGTGCGAATCGCGTTAGAGTAATCAAAAACTGAAAGAGATTCGACACACTTTAAGCAAAAAGAAAGTCTGTCTAAGCAAATCATCCATGTGTTGGGTATATTAACATCTGTTGGGTATATTAAGAAAGGTAGACGTAGTTCAAACGCAGAACTAGTACAAAATTTTGAAGGATAACGATTGATGTATTAGGATCTTTATTATATATAGATAATATATATGTGGGGTTTAACGTCCCAAAACCACCATATAATTATGAGGGACGCCTAGTGCAGGGCTACGGATTTTTCTACCACCTGGGGTTCTTTAACGCGCACCGAAATCTGAGCACATTTTTTTTGATAGATGGATAGTGAAAATTTCGTTTCATTTGGTTAAAAAGTTTTCTAGGCTTCCCTGCAATATAAACCGATGAGGAGGTAGCTCTCATATACAATATTAAGGCATAGTACTGTTCATACAGTGTGGTAAAGTCGGGTAAGTAATGAATTGTTGCATCAACCATTATACGAATGCCGAGTGGTTACTATGTCCCAGATATTACTGGATCTGGCCTCAGTACTCTACTCTGAGTCATTAGTGACAACACATTATGATTTGTTAATCTATCATATGCCATGGCTTCTACCAATGATGTCAATTTACTTTATTTTGTAAGAGCCAATTTTATTTTTCTAGGGCAACGTCAAATATTATCACCACATCTAACTATCGGCCATCTCCAGCTTCATTTGCTACATTGCGTTAACTGACCGGTTAAATCTACAAACTTATAAACACAGTACATGCAACAGTTACCAAACGCGAAGTTCTCCGTTCAATTACAATAAAGCAGCATCGTTTGCCTATTCATTTATCGTTCTCGCTTTCTGTCTGGCAACTCCCTGTCTAAGACGCGACAGAATCATAACCATCATTCGAAATGTTTTTGCAACGTGCTATCGAGAAATTCGGCCAAAAAGACTCCGCAGAATAGCCTAGTTTAAAGCGAAGCAGCAGAAAGCTTGAGCTGTTCATAAAAATACCCACTCTAACAGCAGCTTTAGTGTTTATGTTGTACCTTTCCTTGGTAATACGTTGTTTTGGCTGGAAGGGCATTTATTGGGTCGCGTTTTGCACGTCACGCACGTAGATTTTGGTGCTCAAAATGAAACTTCACTCTTATTTTCTTCCCTAATAATGAGCTGACTACACTGAAACCTATAGCATCAAGTTTCTCATAGTTCAGTTTGACAATCTAAACCAAGCCATTTTTCCTCTGTAGTGTCCGTTTAAGAGGTGACGTCTGCTCTAAAACTGTGTATGGGCCTTGGAACCGATGCTGGTGTTTGCCACACAAATGAGGAGAGCGAATGGGTGTCAACAGCAAATTTGGCACCCGGTCTGCATATTACAGCACAATGAGGTGTTCCGGGCACCGGAATTCTTTACGGCAATCAAAATGCATTAGTAGCATTTCAGTAATATAATTGAAATTCATTTACCTGGAACAATTATAACACGATGTCTTATTATTATATGCATATTTACGGGCACGAAAGTGCACTGTGAAATGGTAGCCATTATTAACAAAATTAGCACCCGTTCGCACAAAGTCTGGGACACTGCAGAGTTGGTGGGTGACTATCTGGTGCCGACTTTGACCTTTGCCCTTTCACCTGTCTCATTTTCACCCATTTCTTTCCTGTACTGCAAAAAGGGTTTGCTTGCTCTTCTTTTCATTGTGCGTCTTTTCAGCAATTTCACTCTGTCAATTTTTTTTCACCATTTTTTATCTCTTTTTGCCTGTATTATCTTTATCGTTATTTTTACGAGTCATTCTCTTCCCTTTCAGGCTTTCTGTAGTTGCTTTTACGCGTTACATCTTCTCTATTCAATCTCTTCTTTCTATTTGTCTCTCTCTCCTATTATTTCCAGCTCTTATCGGTGACACACGAAAACATCTACCATGAAAGCTCTACTTAAAAATATTTAGAGTGCGTATGTGCCACAGAGATCAGGAAAATTCTACTAGTCTTCGCCGTTGTGGAACAAAATAACAAGAAAACAAATGGGTGGTAAACACCAAGGCATGTCCCAGCTTCTTTTTTTAACTTTCTGTACCGAGGACATGGCCGCTCATGGAGCGCATGCCTGTTCATGGTGATGATACTCGGCAATCGAAGACCACTAAAAACACCACGTGTCCACAGCTCTTCTGTAGTGAGATTGTGTTTCTAGTCACGCTAACACTTCTCAATTGTCTCCGCAGATTTGCTGTATATACATGTTTTCCTTTTTGCTGCTACGAGGTATCACAACGTCTTTAGGTTCCATGAAAAGACGATTTCATTACCCTTTCTTCATGAACATGACTTACTTGAAACGTTTATTACGTTACCTTGGTACTTTGCCTTTCCTTACTGTGATGTAATTGTTTTCTGAGACATTTACGCTGGAGAACGGTTTCAAATTTGTTTTCACCCATCAATAATTTTGATATTCCACACAATCGAAATAAATTATCTGTCATTACGAGATAAGAGCATGTCGAAATTGAATTGAAAAGCATTCTAATGTTTACAGAAACAGACACAAATATTATAGATGTGGAATGACACGTAATGCTAGCGCACTTAGTAGATAGAATGATGTTTTTATTGTACAGATGTTGAAAGTTCGGTCCTAACCAAAACAACTTCTTTATCCGTTACTTTTATACCCATTTATTCATGTCAAATTTCAGCGATTCAAAAAGGTCATTGTGTTTTCATATGTTTTCTTTCGCTCCATTACCGATTAGGTTTGTAGTCTACTCCTTCAAATGAAAGATATAATCCGATAAACTCTTGCATGGCAAGCTGAATATTTCCATTTTATGAACGTTATTGGTCAATCCCCATCTAAAAAACGGATTTCAGGTGATTATCTTCAATATCTAAATTCGTGCTGAAATGCAGAAATTATATGACTGCGTTATTTTTATTGGTAATATTTAAGCATATGATGTGAACTTCAACAACGCTCTGGGTCAAAACACCCGAGTAAAATCAGACAGGATGATTGATTGATATATAGCGTTTAACGTCCTAAAACTACCATATGATTATGAGAGACGCTGTAGTGGAGAACTGCAGAAATTTCGATTACCTGCGGTTCTTTAACGTGCACCCAAATTTCAGCACAAAGGCCTACAACACTTCCACTGCGGGACCGAATCCATACTTCAAGCCGGGATTCGGTCCCGCAACCTGCGGGTCAGTAGCCGAGTACCTTAGCCACTAGACCACCGCGGCGGGGCAGACAGGATGAACACATCATTCGTTCTTTCTACTTCTACTGAAGTGTCTCGACAAAAGCATTATTCAAGTTGTCATATTATGCCATGGCAATTAGCCCCTACAACACAAGCTCCATTAAAATACAGTACATGGATCACAATCAATCACTATTTGGTGCAACAACGTGGTAAAAGTGTTTAATTATACGTACGTAAATGACTAAGACCACGATGATACTTTAAGAAACGGTGTACCCTAGTGGAAATGTGATAAATAGAACGAGACTGACTCTAATACGGAATGAAATTGTCAAGATGAAATATCTCATACGAATGATTTTTTAAGATAATTATGTTTAATGATAACTGGGCGGCTGAAGGAGATTTTATTCGAACATTTTTGCTTAAATTTCATGACAAATAATTAGGCAACTAATAACAACTGCTAGTATACTTCAAACAACGTCAGCGTACGTTGAATTTCTATCTTTAAAATTTTATTTTGCTCATATCAATATTTCAAATATCTGGTTTTTTCGGCAACTTCCACAAGGTGTAATTTCTATAAGCGAGAGAATCACTTGGATGTAACGATGTAAGAAATAAAACTAGTTCTCAGAATACTTGTTTAATGTTTCTAAAATTTGTGGACACTTCTCCTGCAGACGTCAGTGCAGGATGTTTCTTAGAGACGCGGAAACAGTCCTCGTGTCCTCTCGCGTGTTGCTGTAGTGTTTCTAAGCAATGCAAAATTGAAGACAAGTTGTGCTCATATCTTATGATTGTTTATTAGCTTCTCCAAACAATTTTCGCGTGTTGCGGAACATACATACATAAGCATCGAACTATAGGTAGATTACCGTCATTTTACGCCCAGAATCCGCACTTTTCTGTGGGATTCATGAGGTCTCCTGCAGCGCACTCAAAGGCCTTTGAGAATTCCGGCATGTTCATCAAAGGAACGATGCACCGGGACCGGTCTGGAGCGTATCGTCCCGATCCAAATTGAACCTCTCTGCACCACTTCACACAGTGAGAAATAAAGTACAGACGTTCTGCTGTGATGTTCGTGCCGCTCAAAATACGCGTCCGCTGGCTCCGCGGCAATGAAGAGAAGCCGTCGTACGCTATTTTCACGCCAACGAGGTCGGCCAGGTTTTCAGAGTCGTAGAAGTTGCTCAACTCCTGACGAGCCTTCTGTCGTTCCTGCGCATTGTGACCACAGCACAAATCACCTGTCTCGTAAGTGAACGCCACAGGTAGAGTGAGCTAAACCAAATACGCTTAATTTTGTTAGCTGGTGCAATGGCGCAGCACGATCATTTTTACGGTGCACTACATTGCCATAAACACGGCTCCCTGGTTACTTAGAATATAACAAACTGCAACAAAATTACTGAAGAAAGGGCGAAAACCGTCTGAACACTGTAAAAAGTACAGTTTTCTTAATCGAAGTCTTGTGACTGAAGTGATGCCCTGGTCATTGTTGTGTTACGTACGTTTGTTAAAGTTCACGGCGTTTTCATGAAGTCAAGCTGGCACGTGTATCTATAATTTTCCGCAGTACAACAGAACGAAGGGGCTCAATTAAAAAGGAGCTTGGTAAGCTGCTCAATGATTGTTATAGTGTGTAAGCACAGCACGGTAAAAAAAACAGGAAGGTGAAAAGAATAACACCTGTTTTTATTATTTAGTTTTCTTTTTTCATGCGTGCCGCAATGCTTCGCTCACTAGTTATGAAGGAAACGAACCCTAGAGATTCATACATGCTGCTACTCGATCCAAACCCAGAAGCGTTCGCCAGCAAACGAGCAGAACACGTGGGAAAATTTCAGCAGTTATATCGATGCTGTCAACAGGCGCAGGTGTGCAAACGTTTTCCTTAACTAAAAAAAATTCTAAAAGCCATTCAATGGAATTGACGATAATGGTCTTGAAATAATGTTAGTGAAGAAACCCGACAACAGTTGCGGACGCTATCTAGCTTGTGCCCGTTTTATGAGCAGTTACGCAAGTATTTAGCTCTAACGAGACAAGCCTCCACACCCAATGTTGGGTCTCGCTAGACTGAATATCGTGTGTGCTCTTCAACTGGAATGACCACAGGAAGAAGACCAGACTCTGGTCGACATCTTTTGTACAAATACAAATACTTCCGTTGCTGCTGTGCCTCACGCGTAATATTATACATATACATACATATATACATATATATATATATATATATATATATATATATATATATATATATATATATATATATATATATATATATATATAGTCAAGTAGATCCTCCGTGAGCGGTCACAACGTGATTCATTTCGACGTTTCAGCCTAGAGTCTGGCCTTCATTATCCTGAAGAAGGCCAGACTCTGAACACCATTAGTCTAGTTATACTTTGAGCGAGACGCACTGAAAACAGAATAAATAACGTATATTAGATACATATAATGCATTCCAATAACGATCTTCTTTGAATTACGCACCACACACTGCACACTAGTGATTGTTTTCGTAACGAAACAATGATACAGGCATACAGCTGATCAATCGATACATTTAAGTATTCTTTATTTTTTCAAGAACGACAAGCGCCTGGAACAAAATACCGAAGGAAGTTCTGTAGCGTACTTTCCCCCAATAAGGAGCGAAAACAACACACCTACATTTCTTGAAGCTTCGGACAAGACTACTAAAAACAAGAGAGGTGAACTATTTCATGCGGTAATATTTTGCGACGAGTGCGGAAAGCAAAATAGAGTGCTTTACACACGGTTGCTGCAATTAGCGAAACGATTGCATGATGCTAATGAAATGCGTAGAAGAACGGGCCCGTTGAACAAAACGTAAATCTCAAATGTTTTGTGGCTCGGGCGCTTCATTGTCAACAATTCGTTTTTTAGAACTACTATCTTTTTTACCTTCCCTTCACTTTCATCTCATGAGACAACGTGTTGTGCTTGAAAAAAAAAAAGGTGTTCTTAAGCTAGTGCATAGAGCACCCATTCTTAGCAATCTGTTTTTATCCAGTCTAAGTACTGCCTTGTGTACAACGTTAACTAACACCTCAGGGTTGAAAGCATTTTGTTTTGTCCATGATTTTCTGTTTTTATTTGACTGTGCACCTTTGGACTTAGAAGCGAAGGTTGACAAAGTGTTACCTGCGATTAAGGATAATCTCGCACTCCTTAAAATTACTTGCGAACTTTCTACATGTTCGCAAGTCTCTATCTGGTTTTTGCATACTCGTTTGTTTTTTATAGAAAATCACACATGCTGGTCGTATGAGCCCCGGATAAATATACCTCTTCTTTCTTTTGTCTCGGGGCATTCAAAGCTGATAAAGAGAGGAATAGAAAACTTCTGTTTTAGAAATGCCCTGACCAAATCGTGGCACCACAAGATGGCGTCCAGTTTTAAGACTCGGGGCACACGTCTCACCGAAGCAGGGTACGCAGTTATGCTGCAGGTCTCTGTAGCTGATCGCATCCTGAAAGTTTCACACCAAGGCAGGCAGGAAGTGTTGGAGTGTTTGGGCAGCAAATTAGGTGTAATCCCGTAAATGCACACTATCTTTATTAACTTCATGAAAGTGCCCCAGTGGGCTAACGTAGTCGTGGTATTTTAGCCCTTTTCATCCCCAAAACTAGGAGAGCTTAGCAAGTTGACCTGCCCAAATAATGACATTCGCTTGGTCTGTGATAAGACACACCAGGTTAGATATGTAGATTTTGCGGGCTGCGTTGTGTACATGTTTTCGTTATCGTGTGGAAAGTATATAGTATATACGACAGACCTAGCGCTGTCCTAATGATGGACAACGTGAACATGACTACAACGCAATAAAAACTTTCAGGGGAAGGTTTCCTTGCGGCGCACTGTAGCGCTTGTGCGTGTTACCCTGATCTGTACAGCTGCACCAATATAGATCGGTCTCACAATCAGCTGACACGCAAAATCAAAGAAGCTGAAGCTATAGCAGAAATAGGAAACTCGCGTGCGAGTTCACCCTTGATTGCACTGATGGAAAAAAAATGACGTTTCTTGGTGTGACACGACGTCCAAGATGAGTTGTGTTTTTATGCATATATAAGGTGGATGTCAAGGGCATGAAATGAACAGGTGGAAGTTCACTGCCTACTTTTATAAACGTCTTTGTCGACTTTCCCCTTTCATTTCTATATGTGCCGCATTATTACGAGCTAAGTTTAAGGAGGCCAAAAGGTGTTGTCAAGGCTGTCTTTGGAATCACGCTTGGTTTTATTGGAATCTGGTGATAAGTGGCCATCAGATCCAGCTTACTGAATATGGTCATTCCCGCGAGGTGAGTGCTCAAATCATGGATGTGATGGAGAGGATAATGGTCTGCTGTTGTCACAGCATTGAGTGCCCGATAATCGCCACAAAGGCCGCTAGTCACCAGGCCGCTAGTCTATCAGCCCCATGTGCAGCGCTGATGACCAGTTGCTGGTAGAAGGCCGGATAATGCTGAGTTGCAGCATGTGATAGAAGCCCCGGCGGGAGACTTCGCGTCTTTGTCCAGTGGGCGTCCTAGGTGTAGCGTTGACGGGTGGTCGGGTGGTGACAATGTGATGCATCACGTTGTGCTTGATTGGCAGTTCGGTGTTCTGATGTTTGTTGATATCAGGGAATTCCGCCAGAATATTTTGAAAGCGTGACGCTGGTTTGTAAGCTCAAATGCCGCTTCAGGATAGGTCAGACTTCAGTCCGACAACTGGGAGCGTAGTGACCTTGTCTTTGAGACGACGCTCCTGAACGCTAACGTCGAGATTGAAGTGGCTCATAACGTCCGCGCCCAGAATGGCAATTCTGACGTCGGCCATAACGAAGAGTCAATGAAATTTCTTCCCGAGTCCGATGTCTATAGTCATCAACTGCACTTCATATGATGCGGTAGCAGTATTATTGACTGCAATTAGGCTGGAAATGGACTTGCCAGGTCGGCGATGTTGAGCTATTGCCGGTAGGATGAATAGCTCAGCTCCGGTATCGACAAGTAGGCGAGTCACAGTGATGCGGTCGACCACGAAGAAGAGGTGGCTTGAGCGATGTCCCGTGTCGCACTCCGCCATTAGCGACTGACAGGTGCGTTTCCCGTCCACAAGTATGGTTGGGTGCAGCAGGTGGCTTGCTCTCTGAAACGGCGATGGTACCAGCAGACGCTCTGCTCTGTCTCTCTTGAGTGGTCGCAGGTGCTGCGGACATTGAGCACGTGAGGATGAACGCTGCCATGCAGTACGATGTTTGTACGACAGGGCAAGGTTTTGAATTGCTGCTGCCACTCTGTCCACTCTGTCCTCTAAGCGACGTATTCGGTCCACATGTTCGGACATTTCTACTGCCACATTAGGCGTTTGTGATTGGTCGGTGCTGTCGGTGATGCGGTCGGCGAGTTGAGCCAGACGCTCAAGGGTCACGCCGTCCGGGACCGGGAGTATCATCCGTGTTGACTGTGGTATCTCTGCAAAAAACAACTCTCGAAGCAATGGTTGTTGCTGCTCCTCTGACGCTGGTTGGCTGAATGGCTAGAGCATTCAGTTAAGTAGTTAAAATGAACGCTAGTCGCCGAGCTCTTCATGAGACAGGAGTTGCTGCATCATGCTCTGTTCGAACACCTCAAGACGTTTCAGGATGGTGCTCTTAAGGTCATCATAAGCCTTTTCAGATAGAGTGGAGGCAAGCACTTCGCCTATAGCATCAGCGATGTCAGGTGGCAGTGCTGCTACAACGTGGGAGTATTTCGTCTCCTTTCATGTGATACGCTGAAGCTGTAAGCGGGCCTCGACTTGGCTGAACCAGACCTTGGGTTTTTTTAGCCAGAAATGAGGAAGTTTTAACTCTGGGGCGTTGGTTGGGAACGAGCTTGAAGTCCCAGCCTCGGCTTTCATGAATGCTGTTTTTTTCTAACGTCCGGGTCACGACTTTGTAGCATACATGCTCTAAGTAGGAGCAAAAAAAAAAACACACTCACATTTCTTGAAGCTTGGCACAAGACTACTTTATTTGTCACAGAAAACAAGAATATAAAAGAAGATAACACAAAAAGGGGCGTTGCTGCGTATGTACTATGGCAAGCCGGAGATAACGTGAGGGTTGACCGCGCATGCGCCATGCGCCTCGGCATTTGAATCGTTACCCCCACACAGCAAAAAACAATCGAGGCCAACGGCATTCACTGCCGCTATAGTTAGACTGTACAGGTTTTTATATCGAAACTGCGAGAAATACTTTCATAATAGCGTCCTTACATTGGTGTATTTGAATTGCACTGTTGCATGTGTTGATTTTTGTTAACGGGCGTGTAATGACTAGTATGTGTGCTTTTGATGTGGTGACACTTGTGTTCACTCTGGCTTTCAGTCAAGTGACTGTGCAGTATGCCTAAATATATATATATATATATATATATATATATATATATATATATTATATATATATATATATATATATTATGGGCACCAAAATGGCACCTAATTATGCCAACATAATTATGGGAAAGCTAGAATCTGAATTTCTTGCAAAAGTTCCTTGAAACCAATGTTATACAGAAGATACATAGACGACATCTTTCTTATTTGGACCCACAGCGAGAACGAACTTCTCAGCTTTATCGACACTTACAATGCTGTACATCCGAGCATACACTTCACACACACATACTCGCAAGTTACCGTAAATTTTCTTGATGTTACCATAACGATAGAAGAACAGAAGCTCTCTACAACCCTATATCGCAAACCAACGGATCGACAACAATACCTTTATTATCAAAGCGATCACCCACGCCACTGTAAAAACAGTATTCCATACAGCCAGGCTCACCGGTTTAAGCGAATCTGCTCTAGAGACGCTGACTTTGACTTGAGCTCACAGAGGCTAAAACTTATGCTCGAGAAACAAAAATACCCCCCACATGTTAATATTGACGCTGTTCAAAAAGCGAGAAACTAAAGCGTGAAGACTTACTTATGAAGCGACCACCACGAGAAGACCCACAACAAACAAACCTCTGCTTGACTTCGAACACAAACTTCCCCAATGTAAACAAAATCCTTAAACGACATTACAACATTCTGGAACAAAGTGAACGTCTGAAACGCGCATTCCCATCCGCTCCAGGCGTCGTTTACCGACGACCACGTAACCTCAAAGACACCCTTGTCCACTCCCAAATTAACACATCACCCCCCAATGATTCATGCCGCCCTTGCTTAAAGCCACGATGTCTTGTATGTTAGGCGATGCGAGAAACAGACAGAGCAACCAGCACGCAATCCAAGTTTTCGATTAACATAACCTAACATGCGATTCCTCTAATGTGGTGTACCTACTCTAATGCAACGTGTGTGGTATGCAGTACATCGGACAAACAGAAACGCCATTTAGGATTCGCTTCATTAATCACAGAGCCCATGCGAAATCAGCCCCAAGTCTACCTCTATCAAAACATCTAAATCTTCCCGACCATGCATTCGACAAACTATCAGTAACACTCTTAGAGACGGGATTTAAATCAAATCGAGAACGTGAACAACGAGAGTCATATCTTATCCACCGATTTAACACCCTCGATGGAGGAATAAATGAGAATTCTGGTACACTTGCAGCAATTAAAGCATTAGAAAACAATAACGGCAACAATGAAAATAGTAACTGAGTTCACGGCACTGCAGCTGCGAAGGGCACTGGACAACCCAAAACAATTCCAAGTGTACCTACTCTTCCTAAGTGCAGCTGTCGTCTGTTTTCTGTTTTATTTTACTACCCAATCAATTGTGCCATGCATGACATGCCCAACAGCAATCCTGTGCACAGCTGGGAGGCCCCCACTACACGCGTAATTTAGAAGCGCCCAAGGAATTCGCATTGCACCCGCTTGCACAGCCTACCGCAATACGGGGTACCCCTATTTTTACGACGAAATGTTGACAGGGCGCGAAGTAGTTAAAGGCTTAGAACTTCCTAAAATGCCCACCACTTACCAGCCTCTGCCACAATACGCGGCCCCCGTCCTTCTACGACGAATTGTTTACGGGACCCCGAGTAGTTAAAGGCTTAGGACTTCCTGAAAATCTCTTTTTTGCCCCACACCGAACCGCCAGTGCCAGGAGGGGCCGTCTGATCGGGAGGAATGCGTTAGTGAACGGAAACATACACAGACCACTAACATCAGAAAGGTGAAGGGGAGAGGGGGGAGAGAGATGAGGGGGGAAGTGGAAGGAAGAGTGGAAGGGGGGCACCCGAGGGGCGTCCACCGTATATTCCTTTTCTCTTTTTTTCTTTTTTTTCTTTCCTTTTTCTTTTTTTCTTTTTTTTTGTCTTTTTTCCTCTTTCCTTGCCCTCTGATTTGAGATTGTATAAAGCTGAGCACCAACAAACTGTATCTTTAATCCTGATGAAGGCCAGACTCTAGGCCGAAACGTCGAAATAAACCACGTTGTTACCGCTCACGGAGGATCTACTGGACTATATGACACGCTACGGCCACTCAACTACCATGCCTGCCTATATATATAAATATATATATATATATATATATATATATATATATATATATATATATATATATATATATATATATATATATATATATATATATATATTCAAATTTGTGCGCCTAAGCTTCGGCCTTCCCCTCACACGCTAATTTTATCGTGGAATGTGGTCTATATTGATTCAAATAACCACACTCCGTGGCCTGCCTTCGCAATACATGCACTGCCCATTATCATTTCTTCCTCATTTCGGCCTAAATAGCCATGACACTATTTGCCTCCCGACCCCGCTTCTCTCGCTTCTCCAGAGTTCATGTTACAATTGTAGTTTTTTTCCCTTCAGCTATTTTCTTTATAGTACTAAACGCTGCTGTGCAGACCAAAGTGTCCAGGTGCTTCTTATACTTACGACGCTTCTGTGCATTTGTCGTAGACACATGGCCCTCTTAGTGTATTCCTTCATGAAAGCGGCTGAAGCCCATCGCGCATATTTACGCTGGTCGTTGTATCGCAGCCCTTGAATGTCGAATGCATGCATCATTTCATGGCCCACAATCTGGAAGGTGATAACGTTTCTTTTGTTTTATTTGCGAAAAATCTTTGCATAACGATGAAATCAATATTGTGCTAGATTAGCAGTTGATAGTTCAGCATCCCCTTAGAAGTGAGCTTACGAGTGAATTATATAAAGAAATTGTTGAAGCGTAATGACCCATACCATAATATGAATATGACAAAAGCCGTAATTGAAGACATCGAAAATTTCTACCACTTAGGGTGTTTATTGTGCACCTACATCTAGATACACGAGTCTCAAGCATTTTCCCTTCTATCTAGAATGCAGCTTCCGCGACCAGAACTCGATTCTGGTAGCTGTGGGGCTGAAGTTGAGCACGTTAGGCACCCGACCACCCTGGAGGGTCTGAATAAAAGGTTACATCACGTCGACACGTCATGCATCACTGAACTTGCAGGGCATTCTTTACAGACCGTGTGAGCGTTACTGACCATAAAACGTAGGACTCATCCATTTGTGGTTGTTTTCGAATAAAGAGACACGTCAACTAAGTTTTACAATGTGAAGAAAATAGTTTTATGCATATATATATATATATATATATATATATATATATATATATATATATATATATATATATATATATATATATATATATAATGTGATGACGTTTATTCGAGCAGGGAAGTCGTAACGAGGTCGCAACGGAAAGTGGGCGTACGGCAAGTCTGGCAAAGGCGGCACAAACTCTCGCGCAAGCAGAGCACGGGCTTTTCGTTGTCTTCTGAAGGCGCATACGCGTTGGTGCGTATGCTCCACTACAATACCCCCGGGGTGAAGGGTAGCCATCCTAGCGACTCAGGGAGTAGGCACAATGAGGGGGTCGTAGTAGGGCTTGAGACGGTCGACGTGTACGGTCTCGCGTCCTCGACGGCGCAAATCTGGTGATTGTGTTAATGGCTCGATGATGTAATTCACCGGGAAGGTCACGTCAATGACACGGTACGGACTATGGTACCGGGCCAGAAACGTGCGGGGGCACCCAAAGCCACACAAGGGAGCCAGCACGAAATGTAGGAGCTATGTGGTGAGCGTTGTCGTGTCGAGTCTTCAGTAGAGCTTGAGCCTCACTTGTCAGAGACCGAGCCAACTGACGGCAGTCTTCAGCGTATCTGGCGACTTCCAAAAGCGGGGAGCACTCAGATGCGTCAGGGCGGTACGGTAGTATAGTGTCGACTGGGTGGGAAGGTTCGCGGCCGTACAATAGAAACAGCGGGGAAAAACCGGAAGTCGCTTGCATCTCGGTGTTATAAGCGAAGGTAACAAAGGGCAATACAGCGTCCCAGTTAGTGTGGTCGGAGGAGGTGTACATCCTCAGCATGTCGCCAAGTGTGCGGTTGAACCGCTCAGTAAGACCATTTGTCTGTGGATGGTATGCGGTAGATTTCCGGTGGATAATGTTGCATTCAGCGAGGATAGCTCTGATGACCTCCGACAGGAACACTCGACCCCTATCACTGAGTAATTCCCGCGGAGCACCATGGCGTAGAATGAAGCTGCGGAGAATGAAGAGTGCAACTTCGTAGGCGGTCGCTGCCGGTAGAGCTGCAGTCTCAGCGTAGCGTGTCAGATGATCGACTCCGACAATAATCCACCGGTTTCCAGAGCTACTATATGGGAGGGGGCCATAGAGGTCGATACCCACGTGGTAGAATGTGCGAGCCGAGCACGAGAGCGGCTATAACATACCCGTAAGGTGCCGCGGAGGTGTCTTGTTTTGTTGGCAAGTGGTGCAAGGCTCAGCGTATTTCTGCCCGAAGCGATACATTCCTCGACAGTAATATCGTTGGCGCAGCCTTTCGTAGGTTTTCAGGACACCTGCGTGAGCACTTTGGTGATCTGCATGGAAATTCATGCAGATGTCAGAGCGCATATGAGTTGGGACAGCGAGGAGCCACTTCCGACCACCAGGCATGTAATTGCGGCGGTACAGATGTTTTCTCGTAGAGGAAAAGTTGGCTGCTTCGGCGTAGCGCTTCTGAAAAGACGCCATACGTGATCGTAAGTATCGACTCCCAAGGGCAAGTATGGGTCGTTACGCTGCTCGGGAAGCATGTCAGTGGTGTCGAGTGGTGACAGGTGTTAAATTGGCGACAGAGAGCCAATATGGTGTTAATGGCGTCGCAAAGTGAATCGCGTCCGCATGCTTGCTACCATAACGATATACGACACGGATGTCGTATTCCTGCATCGAAGGTGCCAACGCCCCAGACGTTCGGCCGGGTCCTTGCAAGGTGTACAACCAACATAGAGCGTGGTGGTCTGTGGACCACGTCGAAAGGACGGCCGTAAAGGTACGGGAGAAAATCAAGGCTCTCTTTGGAATCACGGTTGGTTTTATTGGAATCTGGTGATAAGTGGCCATCATATCCAGCTTACAAAATATGGTCATTCCCACGAGGTGAGCGCTCAAATCATGGATGTGATGGAGAGGATAATGGTCTGCTGTTGTCACAGCATTGAGTGCCCGATAATCGCCACAAGGCCGCTAGTCACCAGGCTGCTAGTCTATCAGCCCAATGTGCAGCGCTGATGACTAGTTGCTGGTAGAAGGCCGGATAATGCTGAGTTGCAGCATGTGATAGAACCCCCGGCGGGAGACTTCGCGTCTTTGTCCAGTGAGCGTCCTAGGTGTAGCGTTGACGGGTGGTGACAATGTGATGCATCCCGTTGTGCTTGATTGGCAGTTCGGTGTTCTGAAGTTTGTTGATATCCGGGAATTCCGCCAGAATATTTTGAAAGCGTGACGCTGGTTTGTAAGTGCAAATGCCGCTTGAGAATAGGTCAGATTTCAGTCCGAACACTGGGAGCGTAGTTACTTGTCTTTGAGACGATGCCTCCTGAACGCTAACGTCGGAATTGAAATGGATCATAGCGTCCGCGCCCAGAATGGCAATTCTGACGTCACGGCCATAACGAAGAGCACAATAAACTTGTTCCCGAGTCCGACTGTCTATCGTTCATCAACTTGCACCTTCATATGATGCGGCTAGCAAGTTTTATTATTAACTGCAATTGGGCTGGCACCAATGGACTTGCCAGGTCGGCGATGTTGAAGCTGTTGCCGGTAAGGCTGGATAGCTCAGCTACCGGTCTCGACAAGGTAGGCGACGTCCAACAGTGATGCGCGTCGTAACACGAAGAAGAGGTGGGCTTGACGCGATGTCCCTTTGTCGCACTCCGCCATTAGCGACTGACAGGTGGCATTTCCCGTCCACAAGTATGGTTGGGTGCAGCAGGTGGCTGCTCTCTGAAACGGCGATGGTACCAGTCAGACGCTCTGCTCTGTCTCTCTTGAGTGGTCGCGTGCTGCGGACATGAGACACGGAGGATGAACGCTGCCATGCAGTACGATGTTTGTACGACAGGGCGAGGTTTTGAATTCGCTGCTGCCACTCTGTCCACTCTGTCCTCTAAGCGACGTATTCGGTCCACATGTTCGGACATTTCTACTAGCCAATTAGGCGTTTGTGATTGTCGGTGCGGATCGGTGGATGCGGTCGGGCGAGTTGAGCCAGACGCTCAAGGGTCACTGCCGTCCGGGCCGGCGAGTATCATCCGTGTTGACGTGTGGTAGTCTCTGCAAAAAACACTCTCGAAGCAATGGTTGTTGCTGCTCCTCTGACGCTGGTTGGCTGAATAGCTAGAGCATTCGGTTAAGTAGTTAAGACGAACGCTGGTCGCCGAGCTCTTCATGAGACAGGAGTTGTTGCATTATGCTCTGTTCGAACACCTCAAGACGTTTAAGGATGGTGCTCTTAAGGTCATCATAAGCCTTTTCAGATAGAGTGGAGGCAAGCGCATCGCCTATAGCGTCAGCGATGTCAGGTGGCAGTGCTGCTACAACGTGGGAATATTTCGTCTCCAGTGATGTGATACGCTGAAGCTGTAAGCGGGCCTCGACTTGGCTGAACCAGACCTTGGGTTTTTTTAGCCAGAAATGAGGAAGTTTTAACTCTGGGGCGTTGGTTGGGAACGAGCTTGAAGTTCCAGCCTCGGCTTTCATGAATGCTGTTTTTTTCTAACGTCCGGGTCACGACTTTGTAGCGTACATGCTCTAAATAGGAGCAAAAAAAACACACTTACATTTCTTGAAGCTTGGCACAAGACTACTTTATTTGTCACAGAAAACAAGATATAAAAGAAGATAACACAAAAAGGGGCGTTGCTGCGTATGTACTATGGCAAGCCGGAGATAACCTGAGGTTTGACTCGCGCATGCGGCCGTGCGTCTCGGCATTTGAATCGTTTACCGCCCCCAGGCAAAAAACAATCGCGGCCAACTGCATCACTGCCGCTATAGTTAGACTGTACAGGTTTTTATATCGAAAGTGCGAGAATACTTTCATAATAGCGCCCTTATATTGTTGTATTTCAATTGCAATGTGCTGTGTTGATTTTTGTGTAACAGGGCGTGTAATGACTTGTATGTGTGGCTTTGGATGGTGGATGATACTTGTGTTCACGTCTGGCTTTCGTCAAGTGACTGTGCGAATTCATGCATATATAGATATATCTATAATATAGAGATATATACTAATAGATATAGATATAATATATATACTATATATATATATATATTATATATATATGCGCCTAAGCTTCGGCCTTCCCCTCACACGCTAATTTTATTGTGGAATGTGGTCTATATTGATTCAAATGACCACATCCCGTGGCCTGCTTTCGCAATACATGCAATGCCCATTATCATTAATTCCTCATTTCGGCCTAAATGGCCATAACACTATTTGCCTCCCGACCCCACTTCTCTCGCTTCTCCAGAGTTCATGTTACAATCGTAGTTTTTTTCCCTTCAGCTATTATTCTCTATAGTACTAAACGCTGCTGTGCAGACGAAAGTGTCCAGGTGCTTCTTATACTTACGACGCTTCTGTGCATTTGTCGTAGACACATGGCCCTCTTAGTGTATTCCTTCATGAATGCGGC